GTGATCTTCTTCCCTGACTTTTGTGTTTTTCAGGACCTAGCCTCGAGGAAGTTGATTGGAATGGGTAAGCTTCGCGGAGGGCTATACTATTGTGACTTTGGGCATGTTGCTGCAACAAGTCACACCAAGCAAAAGGAGGACACATCCTTGGAGTTGTGGCATCAGCGACTAGGCCATGCATCCATAGAAAGAATAGCCAAAATAATTTCTTTGCCTACATATTTAAGCAAAATAAAGCATGTTTGTGACACTTGTCATCGTGCCAAGCAAACAAGATTGCCTTTTCCTATTAGCAATAATATCTCTACCCACTGTTTTGCCTTAATCCACTGTGATATATGGGGTAGGTATGCCACTCAATCTAATACAGGAGCACACTATTTTTTAACCATTGTTGATGATTTTTCAAGATGCACATGGGTTTATCTTTTAAAGCACAAATCAGAAGCTGCATCATATTTGATAAGTTTTTGCCATATGATTGAAACTCAATTTCAAACTGGTGTCCAACAGATACGCAGTGACAATGGCAAAGAGTTCACTGAAGGAGTTGTGAAAGAATTCTGTTTTAAGAAAGGCATCATACAACAAACATCATGTGCCTATACGCGTCAACAAAATGGCATTGTTGAGCGTAAACATCGTCACCTCCTTGAGGTTGCACGTGCCCTCAGATTTCAAGCTAATTTACCCTTGAAATTTTGGGGTGAATGTGTTCTCACCGCAGCTTATTTGATAAATTTAACTCCTACCCCTGTTCTCTCGGGTCTCACACCATTTGAAAAACTTTTTGGTAAAACTCCTGGTTATTCACATTTAAAAGTGTTTGGGTGTCTTTGCTATGCTCATAATCACACCAAGAATCGTGGAAAATTTGACTCTAGAGCATCAAAATGTGTTTTCATCGGTTACCCTTATGGACAAAAGGGTTATAGAGTTTATGATTTGGAAACTAATCAAATTTTCATTTCACGTGATATAGTTTTTTATGAGAAAATCTTCCCCTATGCATCTATTCATAATTATAAAGATTGTGTGGCTTCACCTTCCCCTGGTATCACGCCACCCAACTTGGAAACTCATTTTTTGGCTTCTGATGATAGTGTCTTAGATAACACCATTGATAACCATAACCATTCCGAAACAGTGGAAGAAGCACAAGTTGTCGACATTGATTTGGAGACCAATGCAACTCACCCAGATCAAGATCAAGCAGTCCGACCTCCTCGACCACAACGTGAGAGGCGTGTCCCCCAAAGGCTTGATGATTATGTTTGCACCATGCCCCAGTCTGTTATGCCTATGCAAGCTCCATCTCAATCAACTAACTCAGGTGATCCCTATGCTCTATCTAATTGTGTCTCTTACAATTCTTTTTCATCCACTCATCCCAGTTATTTAGCAGCCATCTCTTCCGTAGATGAGCCTAAATCCTTTTCTTAGGCCATTAAAAATGAAAACTGGCGAGAAGCAATGAGGCAAGAGGTTGCTGCACTTGAGAAGAATGGCACTTGGACAATTGAGACATTGCCTCCTGACAAACGTGCAATTGATTCCAAATGGGTCTATAAGATTAAATTCAAGCCAGATGGAACTGTTGAACGGTACAAGGCTCGCTTAGTAGCGAAGGGATTCACTCAAATTGAAGGGCTTGATTTTCATGAGACCTTTGCTCCTGTTGCTAAAATGGTCACTGTGAGGACATTACTTGCTCTTGCTTCGATTAAGTGCTGGGAACTGCATCAATTAGATGTCAATAATGCCTTCTTGCAAGGTGACTTACATGAAGAGGTATATATGAAAATACCACAAGGTTTTACTTGCAACCAGAGCAACAAAGTTTGTAGGTTGCGGAAATCACTTTACGGACTACGACAAGCATCTAGGAATTGGTTTGAAAAGTTTACAACCTCTCTTGAAGCAGTTGGGTTTAAGCAATCAAAGGCAGATTATTCCTTATTCACATTGGCCATTGCTGATAGTTTTGTTGTAGTATTAATTTATGTTGATGATATTGTCATCACCGGCAATGATGGAGCCAGAATTGCAGCCTTGAAACACTATCTTCATTCTGCATTTTCTATAAAGGATTTGGGTCCCTTAAAATATTTTCTTGGCATTGAGGTAGCTAGAACAACAGAAGGGATAGTTCTGAGCCAGCGAAAGTATGCTCTCGACATTCTCACGGAATCAGGCATGCTTGGGGCAAAGCCTAGTTCCTTTCCCATGGAGCAGCATCATCGTCTCGGGCTTGCATCTGGTTCACCTATACCAGATCCTTCA